GACGAGAAACACACACAATAAATACATCAACGATGTGTATTTGCCCAGAACTTATGATCCACTAACTTACTGGAAAGAGAGAGCAGTAATCTTTCCTCATTTGTATGTATTAGCTAAAAAATATCTTTGCATGCCAGCAACAAGTGTCCCTTGTGAGAGTGTCTGTAAAAAAAAGAAGTAGGCTAAGTCCTTCCACAGCAGAGAAATTAATATTTTTGAATAAAAATATGTAAAAAAAAGTGAGACATTGTGGCTTGATTTTATTTTATTAATATTCATTTTGCAGGACCAAAATAACATTATGCACAGTGAGAAGCCTATAGGTTGCAAGATTCACATATTAGAAAAGTACGATAATAAAAAAACAACAATTTTTTATGGCTCGTCAAGGTTGTTTCAGATCAACACCTGCAAGTGACCACTAGGTGTCACCGTGGAGACGGGTGTCGGATTGATTTGAAGCCTCGAAACAATATGGACCATTTGGTTCAACTGTTTCATTGCTTCACGAAGCCTCGATCTGCCCATCACTAGTGTTTTGTTATTTTGGGCCATGTGCTCTTATCATTGTCTGGTCCCTCCCCCTTGTTATCTGATTATTGGTTCATTTGTCCCACCTGTCCTGTTCATTAGCCTTCTGTGTTTTTTCCCTATTTAGTCTCTGTTGTGTTTGCAGTTCAGTGTTGGTTCGTTTGTCCAAGTACCCGGTTCCTAGAGTTTATGTTCATGGTCTGTGTTATTTCCGTTTTTCCACCTTGAGGGAGTTTTGATTTGTAGCTTGTGTTTGTTTTGTTGTTTCATTAAATTCACCTTCACCTGCAATTGCATCCACGCTTCCTGATTTCTCATATCGTGACAGAACGAACCAACCGAAAGAATGTGGAAGCAGCAGAGTGAGAGGGTTCCTTTGGGAAGAGACAGAGTACCTCCAAGATCTCTGTTCGAATATTTTGCAATAGCCGCTCAAAGGACTGAGGAGCACATGGCAGTCGGCGGTCAGTGGAGAGGAGGAGACCACCGAACTGCTACTGGCAGCTCGTCCGCAACTCCAGCTGGGTCGCAATCTTTCAGCGGAACCCACTTGGTGAAATTCTCAGGGACCCCTGGAGGCCATGGAGGGGGACAGGATCATCGTGGACATCAACATCGGTCTGCCGTCCAGTCACCTTTCAATCAGGTTCCTGTGCACGTGGTTCCATCCAGCACAAAACCATCACCGTGGGTCTCGTCCAACACGAAGGCCTCGCCGCGGTTTCCGCCCAGCTCAAGGCCTTCGCTGCGGGTTCCGCCCAGCTCAAGGCCTTCGCTGCGGGTTCCGCCCAGCTCAAGGCCTCGCCGCGGTTTCCGCCCAGCTCAAGGCCTTCGCTGCGGGTTCCGCCCAGCTCAAGGCCTTCGCCGCGGGTTCCGCCCAGCACAAGGCCTTCGCCGCTGGTTCCGCCCAGCACAAGGCCTTCGCCGCTGGTTCCGCCCAGCACAAGGCCTTCGCCGCTGGTTCGCCCAGCACAAGGCCTTCGCCGCTGGTTCGCCCAGCACAAGGCCTTCGCCGCTGGTTCCGCCCAGCACAAGGCCTTCGCCGCTGGTTCCGCCCAGAACAAGGCCTTCGCCGCTGGTTCCGCCCAGCACAAGGCCTTCGCCGCTGGTTCCGCCCAGCAAAAGGCCTTCGCCGCTGGTTCCGCCCAGCACAAGGCCTTCGCCGCTGGTTCCGCCCAGCACAAGGCCTTCGCCAGGCCTTCGCCGCTGGTTCCGCCCAGCACAAGGCCTTCGCCGCTGGTTCCGCCCAGCAAAAGGCCTTCGCCGCTGGTTCCGCCCAGCACAAGGCCTTCGCCGCTGGTTCCGCCCAGCACAAGGCCTTCGCCGCTGGTTCCGCCCAGAACAAGGCCTTCGCCGCTGGTTCCGCCCAGAACAAGGCCTTCGCCGCTGGTTCCGCCCAGCACAAGGCCTTCGCCGCTGGTTCGCCCAGCACAAGGCCCTTCGCCGCTGGTTCCGCCCAGCACAAGGCCTTCGCCGCGGGTTCCGCCCAGCACAAGGCCTTCGCCGCTGGTTCCGCCCAGCACAAGGCCTTCGCCGCTGGTTCCGCCCAGGACAAGGCCTTCGCCGCTGGTTCCGCCCAGCAAAAGGCCTTCGCCGCTGGTCTCGTCCAGCCCTGCCAAGCCTAAACTTCACGTCACGTCTGCCCAGTCTGAGACTGTTCACGTCCCGTCTGCCTAGCCAGAGACTGTTCACGTCCCGTCTGCCCAGCCAGAGACTGTTCACGTTTCGTCTGCCCAGCCAGAGACTGTTCACGTCACGTCTGCCCAGCTAGAGACCGTTCACGTCCCGTCTGCCCAGTCAGAGACTGTTCACGTCGCGTCTGCCCAGCCAGAGACCGTTCACGTCCCGTCTGCCCAGTCAGAGACTGTTCATGTCGCGTCTGCCCAGCCAGAGACTGTTCACGTTCTGTCTGCCCAGCCAGAGACTGTTCACGTCCCGTCTGCCCAGTCAGAGACGGATCAGGAGATGCCCATTCTCACAGCCGGGGGTATACTGAGCGACTATTTGGAGCGTTTGGCTCGGATCCTGGACATGCCTGTATTCGCTATTCCAGAGTCTGTGCCAGTGTCTGTTCCAGAGCCTGCTGTTCCAGAGCCGGAGCCAGTATCTTTTGTTCCAGAGCCAGAGCCTGAGCCAGTGCTTGTTCCAGAGCTGGAGCCGGAGCCAGTACCTGTTCCAGAGCCAGTGCCTGTTCCAGAGCTAGAGCCAGTGTTTGTTCCTGAGCCGGAGCCAGTACCTGTTCCAGAACCAGAGCCAGTGCCTCTTCCAGAACCAGAGCCAGTGCCTGTTCCAGACCCGGAGCCAGTGTCTGTTCCTGAATCGGAGTTAGCGTCTGTTTCTGTGTTTGTATCTGTCCTAGTGGCCGTTGCTGTTCTGGTGGCTGTTCCTGAGCCAGAGCCTGTGCCTGAGCCGGTGCCAGTGTCTGTTCCAGAGCCGGAGCCAGTGTCTGCTCCAGAGCCGGAGCCAGTGCCAGTGTCTGCTCCAGAACCGGAGCCAGTGCCAGTGTCTGCTCCAGAGCCGGAGCCAGTGCCAGTGTCTGCTCCAGAGCCGGAGCCAGTGCCAGTGTCTGTTCCAGTGTCTGTTCCAGAGCCGGAGCCAGTACCCTGGCCTTCAGGGTCTTCACCGCCCTGGCCGCCCGATGGACTGTCTGTTTCACCCTGGCCTCCCAAGACTAAATGTTCTGTGCCTCCCGTCCCGCCCTGGTCTGTTCCTCCCGTTCCGCCCTGGTGTTTCCTTCCTGTCGGGCCCTGGTCTTATGGAGCGTCTGGTAGCCGCTCCGTAGGGAGGGGGTAATGTCACATGCTTGTCCTGTCTTGTGATGCACATGGGTGTTTTGTTATTTTGAATCATCAGAAGCAGTCAGGTCCATATGCAGCACTTTATTAGGAAGAGTAGTCGACAGGCAAAAGGTCAGGCACTCAAAAATGTAATTTAAGCATTATTGCTCACCTCATTTCTGGTAGATAAACAAGGTAATTTTCTTAAAATTGCCATTAAAACACATTAAGTGTTTTAATGGTAAGGATGGCCTTTGCATGGAATTGCCCTCTGGCGTTCCTCCCCAGCTCCACCTGCATAATTTAGGTATCTTGCTACCAGACTCATCATCCAAGCATTATTAGTCCCACTGGGTGGTTTATCTAAGCTCGAGTTGAAGCTGCTTCCATAGAAAAACATTTCTATGGACAAAACGCAGTTGAAAATGAATGGTGCATGGTGAGAACAGGAACCATGTTCTTGGAACATGTTGTGGTTATTATTGAACTTTGCACAGGGTTAGCCAAGTGTGCTGAGAGTTCAGGGCCGAGAACGGTTTGTAATTGTGCTGTGCCGTACCAGGCTCAAGTGGAAACACAACTGGAACCTTTTCCGAAGATAGAAAAACAGCTTTTGTTTCTCAGCACATAAAGATGAACTACTTACCGTGATCTCAGACTGTGGTGATGTGGTTTCTCCACTGCATGGATCTTCATGTGTCGCTTCAGGCCACTTTTAATAGTGAAACTCTTTCCACACTGATCACAGATGTGCGGCTTCTCTCCAGTGTGGATCCTCTCATGTGTTTTCAGAGTTGATGACTGACTGAATCTCTTGTCACAGTGTAAACACTTGTAAGGTTTTTCTCCAGTGTGGATCCTCTCATGTCTTTTCAGATTTGCTGACACACTGAATCTCTTGTCACAGTGTGAACACTTGTAAGGTTTTTCTCCAGTGTGGATCATCTCATGTGTTTTCAGATGTGATGACTCACTGAATCTCTTGTCACAGTGTGAACACTTGTAAGGTTTTTCTCCAGTGTGAATTCTCTGGTGTTGTTTTAAACTGTTTGCTGTAGTAAAAGTCTTCTCACACTCAAAGCACATGTACTCTCTCACACCAGAATGTATTTTCTCGTGTCTATGTAAATTAGGCAGCACTGAAAAACTCTTTCCACACACAGAACATGAATGTGGCTTCTCCTTCATATGAACTGTCAGGTGTCTCTTCAGGTCTGATGCAGTAAGAAATGTTTTCCCACACTGATCACATGTGAACGGCTTCTCTCCGGTGTGGATCCTCATGTGTTTCTTAAGGGATGATGATTGACTGAAACTCTTCCCACACTGATCACATGAGAACGGCTTCTCTCCTGTGTGAACTCTCATGTGAACATCAAGATTATGTTTGTTTTTGAGACTCTTTCCACACTGAGTGCAGGTGAAAGATTTCTTGGCTCTTCCTTTCTTTAAAAATGTCTTTTTAGTCTTTGAGCGACTCAAATGTTTTCCTCCAGGTTGGACATGATGTTCCTCCTCCACTTCACTCAGTTCTTCTCTCTCCTCCTTCACTTCACTCAGTTCTTCTCTCTCCTCCTCCACTTCACTCAGTTCTTCTCTCTCCTCCTCCACTTCACTCAGTTCTTCTCTCTCCTCCTTCACTTCACTCAGTTCTTCTCTCTCCTCCGTCACTTCTCTCAGTTCTTCACTCTCCTCCTCCACTTCACTCAGTTCTTCTCTCTCCTCCTTCACTTCACTCAGTTCTTCTCTCTCCTCCTTCACTTCACTCAGTTCTTCTCTCTCCTCCTTCACTTCACTCAGTTCTTCTCTCTCCTCCGTCACTTCTCTCAGTTCTTCACTCTCCTCCTGCACTTCACTCAGTTATTCTCTCTCCTCCTTCACTTCACTCAGTTCTTCTCTCTCCTCCTTCACTTCACTCAGTTCTTCTCTCTCCTCCTCCACTTCACTCAGTTCTTCTCTCTCCTCCGTCACTTCTCTCAGTTCTTCACTCTCCTCCTCCACTTCACTCAGTTCTTCTCTCTCCTCCTTCACTTCACTCAGTTCTTCTCTCTCCTCCTCCACTTCACTCAGTTCTTCTCTCTCCTCCTTCACTTCACTCAGTTCTTCTCTCTCCTCCTTCACTTCACTCAGTTCTTCTCTCTCCTCCTTCACTTCACTCAGTTCTTCTCTCTCCTCCTCCACTTCACTCAGTTCTTCTCTCTCCTCCTTCACTTCACTCAGTTCTTCTCTCTCCTCCTCCACTTCACTCAGTTCTTCTCTCTCCTCCTTCACTTCACTCAGTTCTTCTCTCTCCTCCTTCACTTCACTCAGTTCTTCTCTCTCCTCCTTCACTTCACTCAGTTCTTCTCTCTCCTCCTCCACTTCTCTCAGTTCTTCTTTCTCCTCCTCCACTTCACTCAGTTCTTCTCTCTCCTCCTCCACTTCACTCAGTTCTTCTCTCTCCTCCTTCACTTCACTCAGTTCTTCTCTCTCCTCCTTCACTTCACTCAGTTCTTCTCTCTCCTCCTTCACTTCACTCAGTTCTTCACTCTCCTCCTTCACTTCACTCAGTTCTTCATTCTCCTCCTTCACTTCACTCAGTTCTTCTCTCTCCTCCTCCACTTCACTCAGTTCTTCACTCTCCTCCTTCACTTCACTCAGTTCTTCTCTCTCCTCCTCCACTTCACTCAGTTCTTCTCTCTCCTCCTTCACTTCACTCAGTTCTTCTCTCTCCTCCTCCACTTCACTCAGTTCTTCTCTCTCCTCCTCCACTTCACTCAGTTCTTCACTCTCCTCCTCCACTTCACTCAGTTCTTCTCTCTCCTCATTCACTTCCATCGAGTCTGGCAGGAAAGAAAAACTCTCATTTTAAAATTTTCTAAATAATCAAAATAATTCAAAGAGAGAAATATGGAGGGAATGGATATTAAAGTTATCCCTGATGTAACAGACAACTGCTATAAAATATTACAAAAATGTATGTATCTTTATAAATTAATTATACGTCCCTGAAACTTTCCATGAATGAGGTACTCTGATCTTCCAGTTATAAAAAAACAAAAAAACATTTTAGGCGCAAATCCCATGTTTCTGTAGTGACAACTATTAAATATATTTGATCAATGACACAATTATCTAAGATGATATTAACATTAAAATACACAATACTGCCATATTTTGACACCAACTTTTAGATTAATATTTAATTATGTTAAAAACTACTAAAACGTTTTAATTAAGGGCCGTTTACACTGAACTTCTTCCGTTGACTTCACATGTGAAAGTGGGACACAAGAAACACAAGATCAAGTGAATTTCACTGCGAGAAAGAACACAAATGTTTGCAGTAAAGCAGAGTAGATTGTAAAATTGTATATTTTGGAATTATTATTAATTGTTATATGTTTGTAAAAATATGCACAAAATTGAGGCCAAAATTCTTGTAAAATTGTTACAAATTGTAAACCATATGTAGAGACTTTAAGGATGAACCAAACTCAAATTAATCTTTCTAATCTCTCATGGGATTCATTCAAATGTGATTCAGCATTCCGGATCTGAACACCACATTCCAAAGTCACAAGATGGCTCCAAATTGTCTAGAAAACCCCCCAGAGAAGACTTTTATCAAATAAATGTAAAATAAAACAGTTAAAATATTTAGATTTAGTTTGACCTGATGTTCATTTATTCATTTTCATTTATTCATTTAGCTGACGCTTTTATCCAAAGCGACTTACAATTGCTATATTTCAGAGGTCGCACGCCTCTGGAGCAACTAGGGGTTAAGTGTCTTGCTCAGGGACACATTGGTGTCTCACAGTGGATTCGAACCCGGGTCTCTCACACCAAAGGCATGTGTCTTATCCACTGCGCCATCACCACCCCCTTGACAATATCTCAAGCCTCCCTTTACTGACCATTTGTTAACAAAACTGAAACTTTTGCAGCCATTTCATAGTTTAACTATTTATCTAAAAGTGATGAAGTGCTTGAATGTTTCTAACATGAATGTACTTCAGCATCATGAATGAATGAAGAATGAACACCAACCTCTTTGTTCTTCAGGATCTTCAGTGTGTTTCATTCTGCAGGGTTCTGGATCACTCATGTTCTCACTGTCCTCTTTAATAAACTCAGTCTTGGCAGATTTCAGCTCTTCCTGATGCTCTGATGCTCATCTTCACTTGTAACTGATGTGAATTTACAGCATTTATTGGAGAATTACTGTGGGAGGAGCTTCACTGATGATGTGACTGCTGTGGGAGGAGCTTCACTGATTATGTGACTGCTGTGGGAGGAGCTTCACTGATGATGTGATTGCAGTGGGAGGAGCTTCACTGATGATGTGACTGCTGTGGGGGGAGCTTATCTTTCCAAATCTAAAATATATAAGTAACTAAGTTTGTTTGTGTTTTGCTCATGGACAACAAAATATAATAATGTAAATTCTTCAAAATATATATAATAGTAAGAAAAACAGTTGAAAGCATAAACAGAAATAAACAATGTACAAATAGTAGCCAACAAATCCCCTCAATCTGCTGACACCAATGAAATGAGCTTTAAGTGTCAATGTACAGGAGATCTGAAGACATCAGCATAATAAATGAGGTGAAAACAGGAACTATTGTCATGAAATAAAGAGTGTTTTCAGCAGATCTGTTAATATTGATGATCCTCAGACTATCAACACTCATTCAACAAGCCATTCAGGATCATCAGCAGATCATCTCACTGTATTCTGAGTGTTTGCTGTTAGAAACAGTCAGATAGATGACAAAACCCTGTAAAACTGCTCTATTCATACTTTGCAGTCACGTGACAACCATGGATACCTGGCGGGCAACAAACGGGTATATTCAACGTAGAGTCCTGTAGTTACAGGTCTTTCTAGTAGCTATCAAGTCTGTTAGCGAGCTAGCTGCATAACTATGGACTAGGATTAACTCCAAGGTATAGCGAAATTGTGTAAAGCAGACAAGGTTTTTTAATATTTTCAAGGAATCTTGCCGCTCTCGCCGGCGGCGGTGTGAACATACAGTTAGCCTAGCTTAGACTCATAACACAAACAGCTGACTCGCCGAACCAGTTGGTGGCGTTGATTGACGAAACTACAGGGTAACTTAAAGACACGATTAATTATGATCATACACCCATTGTATTCAAACAAATGTTGAAATTACCTTTGATGGAGTGATGCAATGATCACTGCACAGACGTGTATACTGTGAAGGTTGCTTATCTCATCTGGTTAGTGCAACCAATCGCACAACAACTATTATCTAACTATATCTGGCATGTTGTTAACACCTCAAAACACCAACTTTTGTATATTAACCCCCTGAGGATATAGATGACATACGCCGTCACCTGAAAGACCTGCTGGCAGCAGGCATCATTAAAGAATCCAGAAGTCCATATGCGTCGCCAATAGTAATTGTCAGAAAGAAGAATGGAAGTGTACGCATGTGCATTGATTATCGCACGTTAAACAACAGAACAATCCCTGACCAGTACACCACTCGGATTGGTGGATTGGATTGATGATGCTTTGGATTGCCTGTCTGGCAGTCGTTGGTTTCCTGTGCCAGACCTCCGGAGTGGGTACTACCAGATACCCATGTCTGAAGAAGACAGAGAAAAAACAGCATTCATATGTCCTCTAGGGTTCTATGAATTTCAACGGATGCCCCAAGGCATAACTGGAGCCCCGGCAACTTTCCAACGGTTGATGGAGAGAGCTGTGGGTGACATGCATCTGCTCCAGGTGATTGTCTATTTAGATGACATCATTGTATTCGGCAGAACGACTACTTAAAGTGCTTGACAGACTTGAAGAGTGTGGTCTGAAAATATCACTTGACAAGTGTCAGTTTTGTCAGCCACAAGTAAGGTATGTTGGACACATAGTTTCTGCACTAGGAACAGCCACCGATCCTGAGAAAGTGAGTCCTGTCAAGAACTGGAAGTTGCCTACAGATCTGAGATCTTTAAGATCGTTTCTCGGATTCTGCGGATACTACCGAAGGTTTGTTAAGAACTACTCAGCCATAGTTCAACCCCTCACTGAGCTCACAAAGGGTTACCCTCCTAAGAATAGGCACAAGGCTGCCCAAGAGAAGAAGTATTACTTCAAAGAAGGAGAGCCTTTTGGGGAGCGCTGGGACGAAGAGTGCACCAAGGCATTTCATAACATCATTCACTGCCTCACTCATGCCCCAGTGCTAGCCTTTGCTGACCCATCAAAACCATATGTACTCCATGTAGATGCAAGTCTGAATGGTTTAGGCGCCGTACTCAATCAAGAATATCCTGATGGTCTGAGGCCTGTTGCTTTTGCAAGCCGCAAACTCAGTGCCCCTGAGCAGCGCTATCCCATTCATCAATTGGAATTCCTCACATTGAAATGGGCGATCGTGGACAAGTTTCATGATTATCTTTATGGGGCTAAGTTCACAGTGAGAACAGATAATAACCCACTCACATACGTCCTAACAACGGCCAAGCTCAATGCAACTGGACATAGGTGGTTGTCAGCTCTTGCCACCTATGATTTCAAAGTCCAATACAGACCAGGTCGACACAATATTGATGCTGATCTGCTCTCCCGTCAGTTACCATCCACTGAAGTGTCACCTGACTGGGATGAGATATCTTCCCCTGGGGTTAAAGCCATCTGCCAAATAACCACTCCATACCTGAAAACTGGGTCACACAGACTTATAGATCAATTAGGAGCCAATTCCAAGAGTGTTCCTAGCGTCTATGCTTGTCCGACACAGTTGGAGATAAGCGACTTGGAACAATTGAGCCACAGTGAGTTGAGAAGAGCTCAAGAACAAGATTCAGTCATAGGTGCAGTAAAGAAAGCAGTCGAGACTGGCCAGCTTCAGTCTATGGCCAAGAATCAAGATCCAAGCATAGTGCTCCTGCAAAGACAAAGTCCCAAGCTGATTGTGAAGAATCACCTTCTCTTCAGAGTGGTGAACCAACAGTCTGGAGACAAAAGACAACAGTTAGTCTTACCTGAGAAATACCGTCGGATGGTCCTGCGCTCCCTAAACGATGACACTGGACACCTTGGAGTTGAACGGACGACTGAACTCCTGAAGGAACGATTTTACTGGCCGAGAATGAACACTGAGGGCCCTATTTTAACGATCTGAAACGCAAGTGTCAAAGCGTAAAGCGCAAGTAACTTTGTGGGCGGATCCCGGCGCTGTTGCTATTTTCCCGGCGGGATAAATGCCTCTTGCGCCTGGCGCAAATCTAAAAGGGGTTGGTCTAAAGTAGCTTCATTATTCATAGGTGTGGTTTGGGCGTAACGTGAAATAAACCAATCAGAGCGTCATCTCACATTCCCTTTAAGAGCAGGCGCGCTTGTTCTAAAGCGGATTCCTATTATAACGGTGGATTTGCCAGGCGCGCGCCAGGAGTGGTTCACAGCCGAGGAGAGCAACGTTCTCGTCAGGGCCGTAAAACACAGAGAAGTGACATTGGGGATGGAGAAACCCACCCAAATTAACTTCTGTTTAACAGGCGTATGATAATTTGGGTAAATGTGTAAGCTACATGCTTTTATAATAAATTGTCTATCTATCTATCTATCTATCTATCTATCTATCTATCGTAATAATGTATGATTTGCAAAAATGAAAACTGCTGCTTAGATGAGAGAATCAACGTGTATGCGCGTTGTGCACACGCTACATTGATTATGGCCAAGCATGCGCCCTTAAAATAGCATAATGAACAACGCGCAACGCGCCACTGACTTTAGACTATTTTTTTTCTGGTCAGTGGCGCAATTGTTTTATAGAACAGCAAAATAGCATGAGGGAAAGTTTGCGCCGGAACACGCCTCCTCTTTGCGCTGAACCGCCCCGGGGAGCGCAAGTGTATTTCTTAGTTAACCGACGTGCGTCTGTGGAGGGAAAAGTCCGCTTTGCGCGGGTGCAAAATAGGATTGATACATGCGTCAGTGTAAAAAGTCATTTGCGCCGAGTGCAAGATAGGGCCCTGAGAGTTACGTCAAGAACTGTGGGAGATGCATCACAAGGAAGTCAATTCCACAACGAACTGCTCCATTGGGTCAAATCACAGTACAGGTCCACTTGACCTAGTTTGTATAGACTTCTTGTCTATTGAGCCAGACTCCCGAGGGATCGCAAATGTGTTGGTCGTAACAGATCATTTCACCCGCTACGCCCAAGCTTTCCCGTGCAAAGATAAAAAAGCTATGACTGTAGCCAAGACCCTGTTTCAGAAATTCTTTGTGCATTATGGATTACCTTCGCGAATCCATTCTGATCAAGGGCGAGACTTCGAAAGTCGCCTTATCAAAGACCTGTTGGTGATGTTAGGCATCCGTAAGTCTCGAACCTCACCTTACCACCCGCAAGGTGATGCACAACCAGAAAGATTCAACAGGACGCTACTGTCAATGCTAACAACTTTGGATCCAGCAAAAAGGTCACAATGGAGTCAGAGCATCAGTTAACTAGTCCACGCGTACAACTGTACGAAGAATGAGGCTACTGGCTATTCGCCATATTTACTCATGTTTGGAAGAGAAGCCCGCTTGCCCATTGATGTATGCTTTAACACTTCTGCAGAGGTGGAAAGAGTAATAAAATATTCTACTCAAGTAAAAGTACTACTACTTCAATTAAATTTTACATAAGTACAAGTAAAAGTACTGGTCTAAAAATCTACTCAAGTAAAAGTAAAAAGTAGCTCATTTAAAATTTACTCAGAGTAAAAGTTACTGAGTAACTTTTTTAACAGCGGGGGTGGGGGACTCTCCCTTGTAGGCTTGTAATGGTATGAGATTTTCACAGTAAAATATCACGATTTACAGTATTAATCAATTATTAAATAAATAAACTGTATTATTAAATTATGGGTATTATTATTATTATTATCATCAGTTAAAATGACAGTTAAATTAAAGGGTCACTTCAGGATTCAATTAAAGGGTCACTTGCGTCTCACAGGTGTCGCTCATCGGTAATCACGCCACCGGCCTCGCGCCGTTCTCCCGCGACCCTAGCGTCGTCCTGCTCGCCATGTAAACATGACTCGCGCCGTTCTCCCGGGGCCCTCACTCGTCCTACTCGCCACAGTAAACATGATGAATGGCGACTGTAGATCGCAAAAGCCGAATCCTGGACATTATGGGCGATCTCGAAAAACCCGGGCAGACTTATCACGGAGTACTCACTAGCCTAGGCTTGTTGTTTAACTACTGCGCTCTGTTACCGGTAGGCGTGGCCTCCTAGGGCAGCGAAGCAATTGCATTCTGGGAGTTGTTGTCTTTCATCCACATAAGCCAAAAATACATTTTCTGGCTTTTCTCAGTCTAGAAAGCTCCAAATTCAAAAATAATTTCACATTTCTTCTACATAAATGACCCATTTTAAATACACATTCATCTTCCCAGAGGTGAAGTATCCCTTTAATGAAAACAGGATTTTTTTTTTGGTTGAACAAATTATTATAACAAACTTGAAACCATTTGTTTGTTTTGTTTATTAAAATTTCAATAAAACTAGACATGTTTTATTGAAATTTTAATAAACAAAACAAACAAATGGTTTCAAGTTTGTTATAATAATTTGTTCAACCAAAAAAAAAATCCTGTTTTCATTAAATTTGATAATCAATTTGATAATTGATAATGAATTAGATTAACAACTTATTTTTAACATTAATAATTTATTAAAATGTTTAAAAAAATATTGTCCTATGAAATGTATTTTATTCAGAAAATGAATGTTTCTTTTTATGATTTAATCCAAATATATTATCAAAAACGGTTGTAATCAAATGTAAATTTAAAAATTGTGTCCTTTTATTTTTTGGGGAAGCGCTGCAAAAACAGATTTACTAAATTAGACCATGAACAAAAAATATATTCCTTTAAATAATGTTTAAATAAAATGTATTATTATTGTTGTTATTATTATTATTTAGAGAAGTAGGCTACGTTCTAACAAGTGTCCCTTGTGAGAGTGTCTGTAAAAAAAAGAAGTAGGCTAAGTCCTTCCACAGCAGAGAAATTAATATTTTTGAATAAAAATATGTAAAAAAAAGTGAGACATTGTGGCTTGATTTTATTTTATTAATATTCATTTTGCAGGACCAAAATAACATTATGCACAGTGAGAAGCCTATAGGTTGCAAGATTCACATATTAGAAAAGTACGATAATAAAAAAACAACAATTTTTTATGGCTCGTCAAGGTTGTTTCAGATCAACACCTGCAAGTGACCACTAGGTGTCACCGTGGAGACGGGTGTCGGATTGATTCGAAGCCTCGAAACAATATGGACCATTTGGTTCAACTGTTTCATTGCTTCACGAAGCCTCGATCTGCCCATCACTAGTGTTTTGTTATTTTGGGCCATGTGCTCTTATCATTGTCTGGTCCCTCCCCCTTGTTATCTGATTATTGGTTCATTTGTCCCACCTGTCCTGTTCATTAGCCTTCTGTGTTTTTTCCCTATTTAGTCTCTGTTGTGTTTGCAGTTCAGTGTTGGTTCGTTTGTCCAAGTACCCGGTTCCTAGAGTTTATGTTCATGGTCTGTGTTATTTCCGTTTTTCCACCTTGAGGGAGTTTTGATTTGTAGCTTGTGTTTGTTTTGTTGTTTCATTAAATTCACCTTCACCTGCAATTGCATCCACGCTTCCTGATTTCTCATATCGTGACAGAACGAACCAACCGAAAGAATGTGGAAGCAGCAGAGTGAGAGGGTTCCTTTGGGAAGAGACAGAGTACCTCCAAGATCTCTGTTCAAATATTTTGCGATAGCCGCTCAAAGGACTGAGGAGCACATGGCAGTCGGCGGTCAGTGGAGAGGAGGAGACCACCGAACTGCTACTGGCAGCTCGTCCGCAACTCCAGCTGGGTCGCAATCTTTCAGCGGAACCCACTTGGTGAAATTCTCAGGGACCCCTGGAGGCCATGGAGGGGGACAGGATCATCGTGGACATCAACATCGGTCTGCCGTCCAGTCACCTTTCAATCAGGTTCCTGTGCACGTGGTTCCATCCAGCACAAAACCATCACCGTGGGTCTCGTCCAACACAAAGGCCTCGCCGCGGTTTCCGCCCAGCTCAAGGCCTTCGCTGCGGGTTCCGCCCAGCACAAGGCCTTCGCCGCGGGTTCCGCCCAGCACAAGGACTTCGCCGCTGGTTCCGCCCAGCACAAGGCCTTCGCCGCTGGTTCTGCCCAGCACAAGGCCTTCGCCGCTGGTTCGCCCAGCACAAGGCCTTCGCCGCTGGTTCCGCCCAGCACAAGGCCTTCGCCGCTGGTTCCGCCCAGCAAAAGGCCTTCGCCGCTGGTTCCGCCCAGCACAAGGCCTTCGCCGCTGGTTCCGCCCAGCACAAGGCCTTCGCCGCTGGTTCCGCCCAGCACAAGGCCTTCGCCGCGGGTTCCGCCCAGCACAAGGACTTCGCCGCTGGTTCCGCCCAGCACAAGGCCTTCGCCGCTGGTTCCGCCCAGCACAAGGCCTTCGCCGCTGGTTCGCCCAGCACAAGGCCTTCGCCGCTGGTTCCGCCCAGCACAAGGCCTTCGCCGCTGGTTCCGCCCAGCAAAAGGCCTTCGCCGCTGGTCTCGTCCAGCCCTGCCAAGCCTAAACTTCACGTCACGTCTGCCCAGTCTGAGACTGTTCACGTCCCGTCTGCCTAGCCAGAGACTGTTCACGTCCCGTCTGCCCAGCCAGAGACTGTTCACATTTCGTCTGCCCAGCCAGAGACTGTTCACGTCACGTCTGCCCAGCCAGAGACCGTTCACGTCCCGTCTGCCCAGTCAGAGACTGTTCACGTCGCGTCTGCCCAGCCAGAGACCGTTCACGTCCCGTCTGCCCAGTCAGAGACTGTTCATGTCGCGTCTGCCCAGCCAGAGACGGATCAGGAGATGCCCATTCTCACAGCCGGGGGTATACTGAGCGACTATTTGGAGCGTTTGGCTCGGATCCTGGACATGCCTGTATTCGCTATTCCAGAGTCTGTGCCAGTGTCTGTTCCAGAGCCTGCTGTTCCAGAGCCGGAGCCAGTATCTTTTGTTCCAGAGCCAGAGCCTGAGCCAGTGCTTGTTCCAGAGCTGGAGCCAGAGCCAGTACCTGTTCCAGAGCCAGTGCCTGTTCCAGAGCTAGAGCCAGTGTTTGTTCCTGAGCCAGAGCCAGTACCTGTTCCAGAACCAGAGCCAGTGCCTCTTCCAGAACCAGAGCCAGTGCCTGTTTCAGACCCGGAGCCAGTGTCTGTTCCTGAATCGGAGTTAGCGTCTGTTTCTATGTTTGTATTTGTCCTAGTGGCCGTTGCTGTTCTGGTGGCTGTTCCTGAGCCAGAGCCTGTGCCTGAGCCGGTGCCAGTGTCTGTTCCAGAGCCGGAGCCAGTGTCTGCTCCAGAGCCGGAGCCAGTGTCTGCTCAAGAGCCGGAGCCAGTGCCAGTGTCTGCTCCAGAGCCGGAGCCAGTGCCAGTGTCTGCTCCAGAGCCGGAGCCAGTGCCAGTGTCTGTTCCAGTGTCTGTTCCAGAGCCGGAGCCAGTACCCTGGCCTTCAGGGTCTTCACCGCCCTGGCCGCCCGATGGACTGTCTGTTTCACCCTGGCCTCCCAAGACTAAATGTTCTGTGCCTCCCGTCCCGCCCTGGTCTGTTCCTCCCGTTCCGCCCTGGTGTTTCCTTCCTGTCCCGCCCTGGTCTTATGGAGCGTCTGGTAGCCGCTCCGTAGGGAGGGGGTAATGTCACATGCTTGTCCTGTCTTGTGATGCACATGGGTGTTTTGTTATTTTGGGCCATGTGCTCTTATCATTGTCTGGTCCCTCCCCCTTGTTATCTGATTATTGGTTCATTTGTCCCACCTGTCCTGTTCATTAGCCTTCTGTGTTTGTTCCCTATTTAGTCTCTGTTGTGTTTGCAGTTCAGTGTTGGTTCGTTTGTCCAAGTACCCGTTTCCTAGAGTTTATGTTCATGGTCTGTGTTATTTCCGTTTTTCCCCCTTTAGGGAGTTTTGATTTTCTAGCTTGTGTTTGTTTTGTTGTTTCCTTAAATTCACCTTCACCTGCAATTGCATCCAATTGCAGGTGAATAAGCGCCGGGGCTCTAATAAAGTTTAAAAGGGGGGGAATCATCAGAAGCAGTCAGGTCCATATGCAGCACTTTATTAGGAAGAGTAGTCGACAGGCAAAAGGTCAGGCACTCAAAAATGTAATTTAAGCATTATTGCTCACCTCATTTCTGGTAGATAAACAAGGTAATTTTCTTAAAATTGCCATTAAAACACATTAATACAGTATATTACAGACCTAAATGGACAACTTAAAAAGGGTTTTGTTAAAAACTTTATTTTTTAATGGTAAGGATGGCCTTTGCATGGAATTGCCCTCTGGCGTTCCTCCCCAGCTCCACCTGCATAATTTAGGTATCTTGCTACCATACTCATCATCCAAGCATTATTAGTCCCACTGGGTGGTTTATCTAAGCTCGAGTTGAAGCTGGACAGTTCTATGGACAAAAGGCAGTTGAAAATGAATGGTGCATGGTGAGAACAGGAACCATGTTCTTGGAACATGTTGTGGTTATTATTGAACTTTGCACAGGGTTAGCCAAGTGTGCTGAGAGTTCAGGGCCGAGAACGGTTTGTAATTGTGCCGTGCCGTACCAGGCTCAAGTGGAAACACAACTGGAACATTTTCCGAAGATAGAAAAGCAGCTTTTGTTTCTCAGCACATAAAGATGAACTACTTACCGTGATCTCAGACTGTGGTGATGTGGTTTCTCCACTGCATGGATCTTCATGTGTCGCTTCAGGCCACTTTTAGTAGAGAAACTCTTCCCGCACTGATCACACGTGTGCGGCTTCTCTCCAGTGTGGATCCTCTCATGTGATCTCAGAGATGATGAGTGACTGAATCTCTTGTCACAGTGTAAACACTTGTAAGGTTTTTCTCCAGTGTGGATCCTCTCATGTCTTTTCAGATTTGCTGACACACTGAATCTCTTGTCACAGTGTGAACACTTGTAAGGTTTTTCTCCACTGTGGATCATCTCATGTGTTTTCAGATGTGATGACTCACTGAATCTTTTGTCACAGTGTGAACACTTGTAAGGTTTTTCTCCAGTGTGGATCCTCTCATGTTTTGTAAGAATTTCTGACACACTGAATCTCTTGTCACAGTGTGAACACTTGTAAGGTTTTTCTCCAGTGTGAATTCTCTGGTGCAGTTTTAACTTGTTTGCTGTAGTAAAAGTCTTCTCACACTCAAAGCACATGTACTCTCTCACACCAGAATGTATTTTCTCATGTCTATGTAAATATTGCAGCACTGAAAAACTCTTTCCACACACAGAACATGAATGTGGCTTCTCCTTCATATGAACTGTCAGGTGTCTCTTCAGGTCTGATGCAGTAAGAAATGTTTTCCCACACTGATCACATGTGAACGGCTTCTCTCCGGTGTGGATCCTCATGTGTTTCTTAAGGGATGATGATTGACTGAAACTCTTCCCACACTGATCACATGAGAACGGCTTCTCTCCTGTGTGAACTCTCATGTGAACATCAAGATTATGTTTGTTTTTGAGACTCTTTCCACACTGAGTGCAGGTGAAAGATTTCTTGGCTCTTCTTTTCTTTAAAAATGTCTTTTTAGTCTTTGAGCGACTCAAATGTTTTCCTCCAGGTTGGACATGATGTTCCTCCTCCACTTCACTCAGTTCTTCTCTCTCCTCCTCCACTTCACTCAGTTCTTCTCTCTCCTCCTTCACTTCACTCAGTTCTTCTCTCTCCTCCTTCACTTCACTCAGTTCTTCACTCTCCTCCTTCACTTCACTCAGTTCTTCACTCTCCTCCTTCACTTCACTCAGTTCTTCTCTCTCCTCCTTCACTTCACTCAGTTCTTCACTCTCCTCCTTCACTTCACTCAGTTCTTCTCTCTCCTCCTCCTCCACTTTACTCAGTTCTTCTCTCTCCTCCTTCACTTCACTTAGTTCTTCACTCTCCTCCTCCACTTCACTCAGTTCTTCTCTCTCCTCCTCCACTTCACTCAGTTCTTCTCTCTCCTCCTCCACTTCACTCAGTTCTTCTCTCTCCTCCTTCACTTCACTCAGTTCTTCTCTCTCCTCCTTCACTTCACTCAGTTCTTCTCTCTCCTCCTCCACTTCACTCAGTTCTTCTCTCTCCTCCTCCACTTCACTCAGTTCTTCTCTCTCCTCCTTCACTTCACTCAGTTCTTCTCTCTCCTCCTTCACTTCACTCAGTTCTTCACTCTCCTCCTTCACTTCACTCAGTTCTTCTCTCTCCTCCTTCACTTCACTCAGTTCTTCACTCTCCTCCTTCACTTCACTCAGTTCTTCTCTCTCCTCCTCCTCCACTTTACTCAGTTCTTCTCTCTCCTCCTTCACTTCACTCAGTTCTTCACTCTCCTCCTTCACTTCACTCAGTTCTTCACTCTCCTCCTTCACTTCTCTCAGTTCTTCACTCTCCTCCTTCACTTTACTCAGTTCTTCTCTCTCCTCCTTCACTTCACTCAGTTCTTCACTCTCCTCCTTCACTTCACTCAGTTCTTCTCTCTCCTCCTCCACTTTACTCAGTTCTTCTCTCTCCTCCTTCACTTCACTCAGTTCTTCACTCTCCTCCTTCACTTCATGATGTTCCTCCTTCACTTCACTCAGTTCTTCTCTCTCCATCTTCACTTCAATCGAGTCTGGCAGGAAAGAAAAACTCTCATTTTAAAATTTTCTAAATAATCAAAATAATTCAAAGAGAGAAATATGGAGGGAATGGATATTAAAGTTATCCCAGATGTAACAGACAACTGCTATAAAATATTACAAAAATGTATGTATCTTTATAAATTAATTATGCGTCCCTGAAACTTTCCATGAATGAGGTACTCTGATCTTCCAGTTATAAAAAAAAAAAAAAAAAAACATTTTAGGCGCAAATCCCATGTTTCTGTAGTGACAACTATTAAATATAGTTTATGTGGGTTGTGGGTGGTGGGTGGTGATGGCGCAGTGGATAAGACACATGCCTTTGGTGTGTGAGACCCCGGTTCGAATCCACTGTGAGACACCAATGTGTCCCTGAGCAAGACACTTAACCCCTAGTTGCTCCAGAGGCGTGCGACCTCTGACATATATAGCAATTGTAAGTCGCTTTGGATAAAAGCGTCAGCTAAAATGAATAAATGTAAATATATTTGATCAATGAGACAATTATCTAAGATGATATTAACATTAAAATACACAATACTGCCATATTTTGACACCAACTTTTAGATTAATATTTAATTATGTTAAAAACTACTAAAACGTTTTAATTAAGGGCCGTTTACACTGAACTTCTTCCATTGACTTCACATGTGAAAGTGGGACACAAGAAACACAAGATCAAGTGAATTTCACTGCGAGAAAGAACACAAATGTTTGCAGTAAAGCAGAGTAGATTGTAAAATTGTATATTTTGGAATTATTATTATTTGTTATATGTTTGTAAAAATATGCACAAAATTGAGGCCAAAATTCTTGTAAAATTGTTACAAATTGTAAACCATATGTAGAGACTTTAAGGATGAACCAAACACAAATTAATCTTTCTAATCTCTCATGGGATTCATTCAAATGTGATTCAGCATTCCGGATCTGAACACCACATTCCAAAGTCACAAGATGGCTCCAAATTGTCTAGAAAACCCCCCAGAGAAGACTTTTATCAAATAAATGTAAAATAAAACAGTTAAAATATTTAGATTTAGTTTGACCTGATGTTGACAATATCTCAAGCCTCCCTTTACTGACCATTTGTTAACAAAACTGAAACTTTTGCAGCCATTTCATAGTTTAACTATTTATCTAAAAGTGATGAAGTGCTTGAATGTTTCTAACATGAATGTACTTCAGCATCATGAATGAATGAAGAATGAACACCAACCTCTTTGTTCTTCAGGATCTTCAGTGTGTTTCATTCTGCAGGGTTCTGGATCACTCATGTTCTCACTGTCCTCTTTAATAAACTCAGTCTTGGCAGATTTCAGCTCTTCCTGATGCTCTGATGCTCATCTTCACTTGTAACTGATGTGAATTTACAGCATTTATTGGAGAATTACTGTGGGAGGAGCTTCACTGATGATGTGACTGCTGTGGGAGGAGCTTCACTGATTATGTGACTGCTGTGGGAGGAGCTTCACTGATGATGTGATTGCAGTGGGAGGAGCTTCACTGATGATGTGACTGCTGTGGGAGGAGCTTCACTGATTATGTGACTGCTGTGGGAGGAGCTTCACTGATGATGTGATTGCAGTGGGAGGAGCTTCACTGATGATGTGACTGCTGTGGGGGGAGCTTATCTTTCCAAATCTAAAATATATAAGTAACTAAGTTTGTTTGTGTTTTGCTCATGGACAACAAAATATAATAATGTAAATTCTTCAAAATATATATAATAGTAAGAAAAACAGTTGAAAGCATAAACAGAAATAAACAATGTACAAATAGTAGCCAACAAATCCCCTCAATCTGCTGACACCAATGAAATGAGCTTTAAGTGTCAATGTACAGGAGATCTGAAGACATCAGCATAATAAATGAGGTGAAAACAGGAACTATTGTCATGAAATAAAGAGTGTTTTCAGCAGATCTGTTAATATTGATGATCCTCAGACTATCAACACTCATTCAACAAGCCATTCAGGATCATCAGCAGATCATCTCACTGTATTCTGAGTGTTTGCTGTTAGAAACAGTCAGATAGATGACAAAACCCTGTAAAACTGCTCTATTCATACTTTGCAGTCACGTGACAACCATGGATACCTGGCGGGCAACAAACGGGTATATTCAACGTAGAGTCCTGTAGTTACAGGTCTTTCTAGTAGCTATCAAGTCTGTTAGCGAGCTAGCTGCATAACTATGGACTAGGATTAACTCCAAGGTAGCGAAATTGTGTAAAGCAGACAAGGTTTTTTAATATTTTCAAGGAATCTTGCCGCTCTCGCCGGCGGCGGTGTGAACATACAGTTAGCCTAGCTTAGACTCATAACACAAACAGCTGACTCGCCGAACCAGTTGGTGGCGTTGATTGACGAAACTACAGGGTAACTTAAAGACACGATTAATTATGATCATACACCCATTGTATTCAAACAAATGTTGAAATTACCTTTGATGGAGTGATGCAATGATCACTGCACAGACGTGTATACTGTGAAGGTTGCTTATCTCATCTGGTTAGTGCAACCAATCGCACAACAACTATTATCTAACTATATCTGGCATGTTGTTAACACCTCAAAACACCAACTTTTGTATATTAACCCCCTAAGGATATAGATGACATACGCCGTCACCTGAAAGACCTGCTGGCAGCAGGCATCATTAAAGAATCCAGAAGTCCAAATGCGTTGCCAATAGTAATTGTCAGAAAGAAGAATGGAAGTGTACGCATGTGCATTGATTATCGCACGTTAAACAACAGAACAATCCCTGACCAGTACACCACTCGGATTGGTGGATTGGATTGATGATGCTTTGGATTGCCTGTCTGGCAGTCGTTGGTTTCCTGTGCCAGACCTCCGGAGTGGGTACTACCAGATACCCATGTCTGAAGAAGACAGAGAAAAAACAGCATTCATATGTCCTCTAGGGTTCTATGAATTTCAACGGATGCCCCAAGGCATAACTGGAGCCCCGGCAACTTTCCAACGGTTGATGGAGAGAGCTGTGGGTGACATGCATCTGCTCCAGGTGATTGTCTATTTAGATGACATCATTGTATTCGGCAGAACGACTACTTAAAGTGCTTGACAGACTTGAAGAGTGTGGTCTGAAAATATCACTTGACAAGTGTCAGTTTTGTCAGCCACAAGTAAGGTATGTTGGACACATAGTTTCTGCACTAGGAACAGCCACCGATCCTGAGAAAGTGAGTCCTGTCAAGAACTGGAAGTTGCCTACAGATCTGAGATCTTTAAGATCGTTTCTCGGATTCTGCGGATACTACCGAAGGTTTGTTAAGAACTACTCAGCCATAGTTCAACCCCTCACTGAGCTCACAAAGGGTTACCCTCCTAAGAACAGGCACAAGGCTGCCCAAGAGAAGAAGTATTACTTCAAAGAAGGAGAGCCTTTTGGGGAGCGCTGGGACGAAGAGTGCACCAAGGCATTTCATAACATCATTCACTGCCTCACTCATGCCCCAGTGCTAGCCTTTGCTGACCCATCAAAACCATATGTACTCCATGTAGATGCAAGTCTGAATGGTTTAGGCGCCGTACTCAATCAAGAATATCCTGATGGTCTGAGGCCTGTTGCTTTTGCAAGCCGCAAACTCAGTGCCCCTGAGCAGCGCTATCCCATTCATCAATTGGAATTCCTCACATTGAAATGGGCGATCGTGGACAAGTTTCATGATTATCTTTATGGGGCTAAGTTCACAGTGAGAACAGATAATAACCCACTCACATACGTCCTAACAACGGCCAAGCTCAATGCAACTGGACATAGGTGGTTGTCAGCTCTTGCCACCTATGATTTCAAAGTCCAATACAAACCAG